AGGGGAGGGGCGCCGCGCGAATCAGCGTTTGCACGAGCCGTGGTGTGCGAGCGGCAGCAGCGGAGGTGAGCTAGGGCGGCCGGGGCACATTTTTAGGGGCGGCCAGAATGCCGCCCCTAGAAATGTGCTGCCCCAAGCACCAGCTTGTTTTGCTGGTGCCTAGAGCCGGCCCTGGTCACCAGCTCATTTCACACAGGCCATCAAACAGCCAGGCTGACCTGAGCTAGATTGGAACAAGTATCTGAGAGGTGAAAGACTCTATTCCATTACCAAACCATCTGATTTGTCTCTTATATATTCCCATACCTAACTTTAAATGAAATGTATGAGAAAATAAATCATAACTTTATTTTTTATGGATAGTAATAAATGAAATATAAGTCAAAGCACTTTTTAATTGTGAAATATTTCATAGAATGTAAATTAAGTGATTTTTTTTTTAATTAAATCTTCAGTTCTTTGGAACATCTCAGATTCAAAAGCCCCATCTCTATCACTATAGACAACTCCACTATCTTCCCGCCAGTCAGGCTCACAACCTTGTTATAATAGTCTTCACTCTCATTGTTTCGTATCCAAACTCTGGCCATAGCCTTTCACTGCTTCCTCTACATCCCTACGAATAACCTTCCTTCCTCACCACTCAGGCCATGCTACTCTCCTGTATGAATCTCTTAATTAGCTTCTTGCCTTCCTCCTCAGTTTCAAACCTCCCACCATAGTCTTTAAGGCTCTGCATAACTCAATGACAGTCTGCTCTCATTTCCTCCTATCGCCAACCATTTCCATATCGCCTATGGTCTTCCTAAATGCCTCTTTTATCTCTTTCTTCCACTTGTGTCTAACCTCTGAGGTTAGACACTCCCTCCCTGTAAAGCCAATTCCTCTGAAAGATACTCCTTCCACAAAGCTTTTTAACAATGCGGTGTGGCCTTTTCTTTTTCTTTAAACAAGGTTTAAAAAAATCTGCAACCTCTGTTATGTTCTTTACTATAATGTATCTGAACTAGACTGTACGCTCTGTTGGGGCAGGAAGTGTCTTCATCCATACAGGGCTGAAGACACTGTCGGTGCTCAATAAATGCATTCATATTTAAGAAACTCCTACTACAGAGTGATACCTTTATAATGAAAAATATCTGGGGTAGATAAGGTTATAGTTTCAGGTAACTGAGTATAACACACAACTAATACTTTTTGTCGTCAAAGTGATTTTTAAACCCAGCTAATACTCTCACTAATCCTGGGAAGTTACATATTATCCATGTTTTACAGATGGTGTAATTAAGGTAGAAGTTGGGTGACTTGCCCAAATCCACAGAATTTACAGTATTAACAGGCTACATACTATTTGCATTATATATTAGATGCTCTTTTGCCTTGTGACACATGAGGCAACTCAGTCTTTCCACCTCCATCTGTCTAGTGCCACATTTCTTGCCCCATTTTAGTCTTTTTCCATGACAGCAGTATTTTTCCTCATTGGTTTTGTTATGTCATCTGTTATCCTCCTCTTTTCCGTCTTCCACCAGGTAATATCCAGTCAAGAATTTGACTACGAGCATAGTTTTTTTTTGACATCCATACAACATGTCCAAACCACTTCAGCCTTCTTTCTTGAATCATTGTCTGTACGGTATGCTGGTCAGTCCTTTGTAACAGATCAGCGTTGTTTACTTTATCACACCAGCAGACACCAATTACTCTCTGCAAGCGTCTCTGATGGAATGCCTTAAGTTTCCTGTTGTGGTTTTCTAGCATTTACGAAGTTTCAGAGGCATATGACAAGGTTGGCATCACAATGGCATTGTCTACGTTTATCTTGGTTTGTGTGTGAATCTCATATTTTCCAGATATTCATCAGTCTCAGGCTCCATCTACCTTCCCAGTTCTTGCTTCCACCTTATGGAGTTGGCCACGGGCGCTAATTGTATTTCCAAGAATGACAAACAGGTTAACCATGCTGTATTATTGATTACTGATCATATACACACCATCATTCCTGTCTCCTCTTTCAACAATCCTAACTTTTTTGGGGGGAGGGGAGAGAGTTCAGAACTGAAAGGGGAAGGCTTTCAAAAGCATCTAAAGGATTTAGGAACATAAATCCTGGGGCTTGTGCTCCTATCCCATGTGTGCTTTTGAAAATCTCCCCCATGGCAGGCTTATGCTCTATCGTGAAACTATATATATTTTTTCATGCATGGGAAGGACTTGAATGGACAAATATTAAAAACTTAATTTACTCTACAACTGATATATAATTCAGCATTTATTAATAGAAAAAAAGTTAAGTATTAACATTCTGATCTCAAAAGGGAGAAGCGTTCTGATTCTATCAAACACTTGGTGAAAGAGAGGTAGACAATTGGTTAATGAAAGCTTTCTAAATAGATGTCTGAAGAGCAAGAAACAAGGTAAAAGGAACTGTATTGATAAACATCAGGTTAATAGTACACATTGAATCAATGTCAAAAGAATTGATTGTCTTCAACTGTCTGATTATGCAGCTATTTGAGGGTATAAATTTAAACATTAAATGGGAATGGCTGAAGAGGAACAATAGTTTTCTTTAAGAACATAATGTAAGAACGACCATATTGCATCAGACCAATGGTCCATCTAGGCTAGTATCCTGTCTTCTGACAAAGGCTGGTGCCAGATACTTCAGAGGAAGTAAACAGAACAGGACAATTTATCAAGTTATCCATCCCCTGTCCTCCAGGCCAGCTTCTAGCAGTCAGAGATTTAGGGAGAACCAGAGCATGGGGCTGTGTCCTAGACTCTCTTGGTTAATGGCCATTGATGGACCTATCCTCTATGAACTTATCTAATTCTTTTTTGAGAATGCGTTATACTTTCGGCCTTCACAACATCCCAAAGTAACGAGTTCCACAGGCTGTGTGTTGTGTAAACCCACTGCCTATTATTCTTGCCACTAGGGGGAGGTATTTCCTCAAAGTCTGATACCACACATTTTAGTTTACTGTACATGTATTCCCCTAGTTTTTAAACCCCTTATCAGCAGTGGATTTTTTTTTAAAGTGCCTGTCTCTCTCATTTTGGCATCTTGAAGCCATCTGCCATTAGCCACTCTGAAGTCTCCACTTTTCTAAACAGAATAAGCCCAGCTCTCTTAGCCCTGTCTTATATTTTCATACTACTGATCATCTTTGGCAGCATCTGCTGCAGCCTTCCTGAGACAATAACCATCTGAATTTGTACAGCTGACCAACACTGCATAGAGTATTCCAGATAAGTACAACCTTGTTTGCCATTTTATATCCTTGCAGAGTATTGGAAAGGTTCCCATTGGCTTTAGTGACCTTTGAATCAGGCACTTTTTGCTCTGCCAGTTTTATCACCTTAGGGTTAATAAGTAATAATTCAAATACCTAACTCTGATGTAGCGCTTGTCATCAGTAGATCTCAAAGTGTTTTATAAAGGTTAGAAGGCTTATCCTCATTCATATCACTTATATTTATTGTATTATGAGTAACAGAGGTCCTAAGACTGACACCTGAGGCACTGTGCTCATAAGCCTTTTCTAGTTTGAAACACATCCATCTATGGTGACTCTGTTCTTGGTTTTGAGTGAGGCCTGGTCTATACTACAGAAGTTATGTCAACATAAGGCAGCTTTACATCGATCTAAATCTAAGCATCTACACCAAAATGTAGCTACCACCGATGTAACTCGCCCGCTGCACCGACTTAATAACTCCACCTCCTCAAGAGGCATAGCACTTAGGGCAACATAGTTAGGGCAACACAGTGTTAGTGTACACACTGCATTACTTACATTTAATTTAGGGGTCTCAAGGTGTCCTACAATGCCCCACCATGTCCGCTGTGGTCAGCGTTTTGAACTCCATTGCCCAGTGACCAGGTATGCAGGAACATACCCTTCCCCTTTTAAAGCCTCTTGAATTTTTTAATTTCTATTTCCTGTTTGCTCAGTGTGGAGAGCTCACCTAGCAACTCTCAAGCATGCCTAGCAACCACCCAGCTGACCAGGCCGGCTCCAGATTGCGGACAAGCTCCTGCCTGGAGTACACAGGAGGTGGTGGATCTCCTGGGTCTGTGAGAAGAAAAGGCTGTGCAGACACAACTCTGATCCAGCCATTAAAACGTTGATATTTATGAGCAGATCGCTTGTGGCATGGCAGAGAAGGGCTACAAGAGGGACATGCAGCGGTGCTGTGTGAAAGTTAAGGAGCTGTGGCAGGCATTCCAGAAGGCCAGGAAGACTAACAGTCACTCTGGTGCAGAGCCACAGACATGCCACTTTTATAAAGAGTTACATGCCATCCTTGGCATAGACCCCATGACCACTTCCAAGAATCCTGTGGATACTTTGGGGGAGCTGGAGTCAGAGGACCCTGAAGTGAATAGTGAGAAGTAGGTGTTGGACAAGGAAGAGGAGAAGGAATACAGGGGCCAGGAGACTGAGGCATCCAATGGCACAGCAAGACAGGACCTATTCTTGACTCCAGAGCAGTCTAGCCAGTCCCTACAGACCAGCACGGGGAGAGCCTGACACAGGGAAAGGAACCTCTAGTAAGTATGCAGTTTGCTTTGATATTGCAGAAACATATCTGTTCGTTTGCTCTTTTTTAACTCATTTAATCTTTTTAATCATGAAGAGGTAGTGAAATAAAACAAGAGAGGTAGAATCGCTATCTGCTTCTCATTTCCCCCGTAGAGTTAGGCAGAGGGGGGCCCTGTAGAACACTCTGTTTATGTCCACTGGGGTGTCCTGTGAATCCTCCTTAAAGATCTAGAGGAAAGTTTCCTGAAGGTAGTCTACAATCCTCTGCTGAAGATTTCTGGGGAGGCTGCCTTATTTCTTCCGTCACAGTAGGATATTTCCCCCATGCCACTGAGCAATTGCTTCAGCAGGCACTATTGCAGGATCAGGTGTGCTGTGCTTGCAGTATTAATCACAATAGTGCAGAGCTGTGCGCAGGACCCATGCTTCTCACAGAGATGGCAGATGCATGGGTTAGCAGGGCTTTTGAAAAAAGGCATGAAACATTATGGGATGCAGATAAAATTATGGGATGGAGAAAACTGCATCATGGGACATTGAAACCATGTTCCTAGTCACCCCACATGACTTGATTGCCCCTATAAGGCATTGCAAACCTTTTCCAAAACACCCTGCTGGTAGGTGGTGGTGAATTGCACAGTGGGATAGCTACCCATGGGACACTGCTCTCTGCATCGCTGCAAGCACTGGTAGTGAGATTGTGCACCGCCAACACACAGAGCGCAGTGTCGACATGCAAAAGTGATTTAATTACTGTGACAGCTGTATGTTGACGTAACTTATGTCAACTTATTTTTGTAGTGTAGACTTGCCCTCAGCTTCTTATCTAACATCCAGTGGGCTTGTCTATACACAGAACGCTACAGTGGCACACCTGCGCCACTGTAGTGCTTCAGTGTAGACCACTACCTATGCCAGTAGCTAGGTTGATGGAGTAATTCTACCATCAACCTTGCACTGTCTACAAGGGGACTTATGTCAGCTTAACTATACCACTCAGAGGGGTGGATTTTTCATACCCCTGAGCAACGTAGTTATGCCAACCTAGTTTTCTAGTGTAGACCAGGCCAATAGTTCCTCTAACTACAAGATTATTTGAGACAGATTCTGATTTCAGGCCTGGTCTACGCTAGAAAGTTAGATTGGTTTAACTATGTAGGTCAGGGGTGTGAAAAATCCACGCCCCTGTGCGTCGTAGTTAAGTCAACCTAAGTCCCTGTGTAGACAGTGCTAGCTTGACGGAAGAATTCTTCCATCGATCTAGCTACTGCCTTTCAGGGAAGTGGATTACCTACACCGACGGGAGCATCTGTATCATTGGAGTAGGTAGTGTCTACTCTGAAGAGCTGCAGCAGCGCAACTGTGCCACTGTAGTGTCTTAAGTGTAGACAAGCATTCAGGTACCTCACTATAAATCTAGAGTAATTCTGTGCACCCATTCTGCCATAAGTATTTTACACACAGTTCCCAACATCACCAATGGATAGTTTGTTGAAAAAAGGACCACATACAAACTATAGCAGTTAGCCCACACTAACCATGTCACAACTCTATTTCTTTATCCTTTGATCTAAATGCTCTGATTTCACTTGAAGAGGCTCAGTGGTTTCTTTTCTTTTGCTGTTGATGGGTGTATTTAATGGTTTATTGTGTGTACCTTAGAAAAATGAATTATTTCAAATGTTTTCTGCAATTTGCTGCTACTCATCTTTCTGCTCCTGTTCTCCAATCTTTATAGCATCCTTGCTGCCTTTCTCTACCTTATCAATATCCCTTTCAAAATGAAAAAAAAAGCAGAAATGAAGTGAAAGAGAAGAAGGATAGTCTTGTGGTTAAGGATCTGGACTGGGATTCAAGGAGGTCTTCCTGCGTGACCTCAGGCAACTCATTTAAATTCTCGGTGCCACACCTGCCCCTATGTCAAATGGAGATCATACTACTTCCTCGTCCCTACCCTTTGTCTGTCTTGTCTATTTAGATGGTAAGATCTTACATATAGGTACAGTCCAGCCCTGATTTCTGCACCCTTTATTCAACTTTGCAGTGTTTGCAGGGTAGGTGGCACCAGCTTGTTCAGTAAAGCGTCAGGACGGCAGCATCAGTCAGAGTCAGCAGAATCAGCTGCATTAGGGAGACGGCCATTTCAAGATGCTCCTCAATTGTCCATCCCTTGAAGTCCCTCTTCCATCTGAAGAGGGTCAGGAAGTTCCTCTACAGCCTGCTTCCTTCAACCCAGAAGAGATCCCGTATCACAATCCATAAACTGAAGCCTGAGAAGGCATCCGGGGTTTGTTGCATCACTTTTGAGTTGCTGAAGACAGGTGAGAGCATTGCTGTACCATAAGCTCTTCTAGGCCATTTGGCATATTAATATCATCCCCAATGACTGGAAGAAGGGGATTCCTCTGTTCAGAAAGGGTGATAAGGTGAATGTAGCAACTGTAGCGGTATGATGCTGTTGTCTGTTCCAGGGAAAGTCTTTGCTTCCATGTTAATGTCTCAACTCAACAATGCACTTTGTGGCAAAGCCCAAGATACTCAGTGCAGCTTTAGATCTGGTCAGTCCGCTGTTAACCAGCTCTTTACCTTGAGACAGCTTTTTGAGAAGATGGCTGAATTTAATAAGCCATGCACAGCACTTTCTATAGACTTCTATAATGCCCCTGATGAAGTAAATCAAGCTAGTTTGTGGGATCCAATGAGGTGACTTGGCATCCCTGGGACAACAGCATCATTGATAGGAGAGCTCCATAATGGAATGGAAAGATGCATTCGAGTCAATGGCAAAAACATAGCATGGTTTCCTGTCTCCATAGGAGTTCGGCAAGGTTGTGTTCTGTCACCATCATCGTTCAATATCAGCACTGACTGGATGATGGATAAACTTGAAGAGGCAGCAGTTGGGGGTTAAAGATGAATGCCATTCTGCTTTGAGATCTCTAATATGCCAATGACATTGTCTTGCTGGCTCACTGCAGCTGATGGCCAGTCTGGTGAGGCAAGAAGCAGCGCACGTAGCTCTGGTTATTAATCCAGATAAAACCAAGTCCCTGGTCAGGACCATCAAGCAGCCTCCAGCTCCAGGTTACAATCTGCTCCGTATTAAACTGTCTGGGTGAGGCATCGTAATAGACAGTGCCGGAGGGTGCTCTAAAAAATGTGGACACTTGTCTATCAACAGCGGCTGACATGTTTCGGCTCCTTTAGCGGCCTCTGTGGGGATGTTGTGATTTCAAGCTTGCTACGAAGCTGCAGATAGAACCCCAGTTATCCCAACTCTATTGTACAGACGTGAAATGTGGGCACCGAGGAAGGCTGAAGAACACAGGATTGATGTTTTCAATTCCCACCGTTGTTGCCAGCTGCTCCTTATTAAGTGGCAAGACAACAACAGAAATCAGGATATTTGATGCCAAATCCACCAACTGCCTCCATCAGCACTGCCTCATCACAGAACAGGGCGCTCAGCTCTGTACAAGGCACAAAATGAAGCCCGTTCCTGGGCTTGCAGTCAGACGTAGAGGAGGCAGGATGCCTGGCCCAACCTCCAGGTGGGAGTAAATTGAAAAAAAAAGGTCAGCACTAAGTTCTTTAACCTATGATATTTGGTTGCCAGAGTCAGCCCTTCCTCTGCGGCTGACGATTTACAGCAGGGCTAACAGCGTGGAAGAGCCTTGTCTTTTCCAGAGTTTAAAGCCAGAGGGGACCACTACAACGAACATCTAGTTTGACCTCCTGCAGAACATGGCCTGAGAGTCCTGTTATTCCCACCTAGCGCTTCCCTGGGATGTTCTAAGGATTTCCCAGCCCAGCTGGCTAGCTTCTGGGGAGGAGCCTGGGGTTGGGGAGTGACGGGGGACAGTTTTTCTAAGCCCCCAGGAAAGAATTAGATAGAATTTATCTAATGTCAATGTCCCCAACTTCCCCTCCGGGCAGAATGAGGGTGCAACAGCTCAGGGGATGGGAGCTGAGGGATTCCCCATCCCCTGCCCCAGCCTGCTTCCCAGGCCCCTCCCCTCCTTGCTGTCCACCCTCCCCTCCCTTCACAGCCTCTTCTGGCGCTGCCCTCCATCCATCCTCCCCGGGGCTCCTCCTCTCCCCCGCCCCCGGGCTCCCCCCTCGCCAGGACCCCGGGGCTTTGCAGCTGGGGCCGCTCCTGCTGCCCTTGGATTAAAAATAGCATCTTCCCCGCTCCTCCCCCGGGCCCGGCTCAGGCCGCCTCTCTGTGCCCCGGGCCCGGCTGCGCTCGCTCTGCCTTCCCCTCGCTCGCTCGCGGTGCGGCCGGCCGGGGAGCATGCAGCGGGCCGCGCTGTTCGGGAGCGGCAGGGATGCGCAGATGGCTGCGGGGGACCTGGGGGAGCTGCTGGTCCCCTACATGCCCACGATCCGCGTGCCCAAGTCAGGGGACCGGGTCTACAAGACGGAATGTGCCTTCTCCTACGAGTCCCCGGTGAGTGCAGCAGCCCCGCCGGCTGCACCCCCCCCCCCGGCAGACAGCAAACCTTCCCCCCCAGGCAGGCAGCAAACCTTCCCACCGGGCAGACGACAAACCTTTTCCCCCCGCCTAC